ACATTATGAACTATAAGGGCTAATTTCAATTTTTGTCACTGTCTTGCTGCACTAGCATTGTTCATTGTGAAATTTCCATCCTTGCTAGATTTGTTTACACTTCAAGGTCTCTCTCCAACTAAGGAGCAATGGTATAGAGTTAAAAAGAACATGAATTTGGAACTAGGTTTAGGTTGCCATCCTTAAAGTGTCTGTGCTTTAGTGTGCAGTCTTTAACATCTTTAAAGTGAAGATTACACCTGGTTACGGATTCCACGAGCTGTAGTATATATGAGGGACTCACTAAATATTTAAGAGAAACATTTGTATTTTGTATTATTCTCCCCATAAGAAAACTATAACCCTTTCTTTTTGCAATAGAAATGTCACTGCTTTACATATATCTTTTATGCTTATCCTTAACTTATCAAATTCTGTGGTTCTGGTTTTCTAAAACTCTTTACCTCCAACCTCAGCTGTTTGTCACAGAGCAAAGTTCAGCAGCTTTGCTTCATATTCTGGATGGAATACTGTTCTTACAAATGTGCAGCATCCGCAAATTTATTTCTAATTCAGCTTGGAATTTCACTTTTATTTTTAAATAAAAACAATATCATAAATAGTAGTTCTTTTTTTCTATATCAAATCTTGGAAACAAAACCATGTTTGATTCACAAGTTAATTGAAATATTTTATATTTAAAATAAAGTAAAAGAAAAGTTGTAAGGTGTGTTTAATTGCTTTAGGGATTTAAATGTTTTTATATTATGGTTAATAGTTTTTTTTTCTCTCACATAGAAGGTCACTATGAGGATGCTAATTTATTAGGTATATTTAAATTTTGTTTAACTCACAATTAGAATAATAGAGAATAAGACATTTTCCACTGGAGAAATCTATCTTCATATTCCTCCCTGTTGCTTGGCATGTTTCTTTCTTCTTAAGTTATGAGAACTCTCATTTAAAAATTGAAATCCTTGATTTTTCTAATTTAGAACTTAACTCAAGGCTGAGTTAAGGTCTATTATGCCATACATAAAGTTTTTATACTGCAGGTCAGGGTCCATTATTAGACTGTGAAATAACAAATTAAATATACCCACTATATATCAGCAAAAAAGGGAAAAAGCTATCCTTTAGCAAATTGGATATTTCATAGTGAACTCATTGTTACGTTCTTTCTTTATTGAAGATCATGCTTCATAATCAAGAAAACCTTGTTATCTTATACCTCAGTGTCAATTAAGACTCTTAGTCTGTATTTCACCCTTTATCTTAGATGTAGAGTGGGTGGTACTGGGCTGAGTTCCCACAATTTTTATATGCATGTTAACTTTTGAACTCTTTTGATGCCTTAAATGAAGAGAAGTGACTAATAATAAGAGCTGGAGCTTTGATTAGTTATTTGTTAGCTTAATCAAATCATCTGACAGTTTCAAAGGATATACTTTCCTTCTTTTATTTCCTTTAAAATTATTGTTTTTATTTTTTGCTTTTTTTGGAGTCATATAATACACTTGGTAACCAATTTATATTCAAATCTTAGCTAACATTCTTCCTTTTTGTACATTTTCTTTTTTTAATTCTTCCCATTTTTATCTAATTTTTGCTTTGCTGAAATAACTATATTGTTTTAATTAACATTACTTGCATCTGTGTGCCACAATCACAGTAATAATTACCTAGTTATCAAGGTTCAAAATTTGGTACTTAAACAATAAAGATGTATAACATAGTATAAGCACTAATTATAACTTTTTAATAAGTACCTGTTTTTCATGGAAAAAAGAGAACTGTAAATCTCACTAGGTTTGGGAAATATTTCAGTTAAAGAGTTAGGATAAATTTTCTTTTAATCTTTTAAGCTAATGGGCCTAATTTTTGCCCTGAGTGACAAAATATAAGTTATGGTATCTTTTGTTTAATTCTCTATATTATACCTATGGTAGAATGTAAATATAAAAGATGTGTAAAATACAAAAAAGGTGGGAGTTTTTCCAGTGCTGGAAGGATGATCTTGTAATGTAATAAATTATTATCTCCATTCCACAATTTTAGTTTCCATGTTGTCATGATGGGGAAAGTATCTAATGGACTCTGGTGGAGGATTATTAGTACTTCGATTGTGGGAACAGTGGCAAAAGCATCTATTTGTAGAGGTGTGAACCTGTACCCCTAAAACAATATACAGTATTGAAAATCAACATTATCTCAGTAAACATAATTAAAAACAAGTCTCATTTCCACTTGTACCTGAGTGGAAGTCAATACCAAATAAGTATTTGTTAAACTGAATTAACTGTTTCCACTATATCATCGTTTAAGTGAGTGACACATTACTGCATGTAACCTTCATATTATGTTAGCCTAAGTCACATGATTAAAACTATGACTTTGATCCTCACCAGTAAATCTTGCCTGATCCTAAAAGCAGGTGTGGCCCTAACAAAAGTACCTGGAAGTCATTTTTAAACAGAAAATCATTCAGTTGCTCCCCTCCTAAGTAATTATTTTCCTAAGAATTGTTTTCTCCACTAATTACTTGTTTTCAAAGTTATGATTTTCTTCCGAGTGCAGAGAAGTCTAACCTTTCTCGTATACAGTAGGCTTTTTTCAGAAGTGCTAGATTAGTTCATTTATTCCTCTTGCTCATCTTTAAATGGGAACATATTTACCTAGCTTTGATGTTTGCTAAAAGATGAGGTATGGAGCATCACTGAGCCCTTTGTTATCTACTTGGGTGCTACAAGTGATTCTAAGATTGCTTTTGTTTCATTAATAATCAGATCTATGATATAGGAAACTCAATTTCTAAGGAGAATGAACGTTTCTTGAGCTCTTCCCATCTGTCGCTGGCTCACAGGGTTGACTTTGTTTACTGCCTGTAACAATCCTGCTCATCTGCCTCTAGCATTGATATATTTTAGGATTTGCATGTGTTAAATATATGAATTGTCAACCTAAAAATACTGCCTGTCCTGCTCCCCACTCTGTCTCTGGTGAATCCTCTCACCGCCCCTGCACTTCTGGCCAGTTCTGTATGCACAAATAAATAAATCTTAAAAAAAAGTCCGTAATCATTAATCTTTGTGATCTGGATGAGTTTACACTTGTTTGCTGGATGACTTTTTAAAACAAATGCTTTTTTCCCCATTTCAAAGAAGACAGGTAATGTAATTCTCTGCAGTGGCTGCCTTGCTCCATGTTTTAATTTGGTACACAAATGTCAACTTTTTTTTTTTTAATAATATAATGGTTTATTTTTATGTCATTTTGTGCCTTTTTTCCCTCTCAGTTGTAATCCCCATGGGCTTCCCATCACCAAATCACCCGTGTGCCATCACCATAGTCCAGTGCACTTCCCTCCCCCCACTGGTTTTGATCTCATTCCACCCCCATAAAAACTCTCTGGTATATAGTTGTTCATCATCATCATTATCATCATCATCATCAATTATTATTCTTCTTCTTATTCTTCTTATTATTATTCCCTGGACCTTTATACTCCTGCTATGAGTGAAACCATCTGGTATTTTTCCTTTTCTTTCTGGCTTATCTCACTAAGCATGATCTTTTCCAGCTCCATCCATGTTGCTGCAAAAGGCATGTGTTTATTGTTTTTGGTTGCTGAGCAGTATTCCATTGTGTGTATGTACCATGTCTTTTTTAATCCAGTCATCTACTTTTGGCCATCACAAATGTCAACTTTTTTTTTTTTTTAAAGATGTATTTATTTGTACATACAGAACTGGGGTACAGGCCAGAGGCTCAGGGGCGGTGAGAGGCTTCACCAGGGACAGAGTGGGGAGCAGAACAGGCAGATCAACGAAGTACACTGCTGAGGGGAGCAGTGGGCGGGTCAGGAGAGGCCTGCCACGCCATGTGGTCACCTCCGGGGCAGGCGGAAATAGAACTGATGCGGAAGAGGCTCTAGCTTCTCAGTGCTGTGCTTTAACTTGCTGCGCCACCAGGGAGGGCCACAAATGTCAACTTTTTACAGCACAAAGTGAAGTAGTTGATATGGGCTAGAAAAACTTGGCATTGATATAAGGTAGAGGGTAAGAGGCAGATGGTTAAGAGGCAGGTAACTTGAATAGGAGAAGAAAGCTGAGTGGACTCACAATTGTATTTCTTAATTCAGCAGTATATGGGCTATATAAGCAACAGAAATATTCCCTCTTGCAGCTGGTTGCCAATTAACCTAAGTTTTCAGCGTTGCAAATCAGATCACTCACACTTTCACCAGGATTGGTTTATTTGGAAGTTGAGAGAGATCATAGGAGAAATTTATTTTGGTGGTGATACTTAAGTTTAGAAGAAACATTTTTTTTAACTTGTTCTTTAACAAGTAAAACCTTATCCTTTTATTTCACTAGTTTATTGTTTCTCAATCATGCAAATAAAAACTAACATTTATTATCTTCATTTTATTAAAACCATTATTTAAAGGTGGGTCTAATTTTTCTCATTTTTCAAGTAAGGATTGGATGCCTATTAGATTTGCTTAAAATCTCACGAGTGAAAAAAAAAATCTCACAAGTGATAGTTGGCACTGTTGATAGTTAAATACAGGTCAAACTTCACATATCACATTCTTCTTATTCTGTACTTTTTTTTTTTTTAAAGATTTATTTGTTCATACAGAACTGGGGTACAGGCCAGAGGCTCAGGGGCGGTGAGAGGCTTCACCAGAGACAGAGTGGGGAGCAGAACAGGCAGATCGACGAAGTACACTGCTGAGGGGAGCAGCGGGTGGGTCAGGAGAGGTCTGCGGCGCTATGTGGTCACCTCCAGGGCAGGCGGGAATCGAACTCATGCGGAAGCTGCTTTAGATTCTCAGTGCTGTGCTTTAACCCACTGCGCCACCAGGGAGGGCCCATTCTGTACTTTTTGTGAATGTGGTTAGTTGATTTTGAAAGCAAGTCATTTTCTAGAATCATAATACTGTGTTATGAAATATTTTATATTTTCAAGAAATATATTTTTAAGAAAATAATGTGCTTTAACTTTCTTTTTTTGAGATGGCAGTTCCAGGACATATCGTTGGTTCCTTCATACTTCTGTTGCACATTAGTTCTGTTGCTAATTATCCCAATGGAAAAGTAGCAAAGTCATGCAATGGAATGATTCCTATACATGGTCATACTCCACACACAGATCCAGTTCACAACATTTCAGTGAGTCAGATGACATTCAGACCTGGAGATCAGCTCAAAGGTATGCTGCTGCTGTTATTAATTGTAGCGGTTTCATTCTTTTTTACTGTATATTGAATTTTTATTAAGGTTGGATTTATGCAATTTCAACTTAGTCTTTTCATCTCATTGTGGTAAATTACCATCGTTCTATACATACCATGTTTGTGTTTAACTACTGCAGGTGACTGTATTCTTTAAATAGTATATAATTAAGTAGTATTAATTTCCATTGAAAACAGGCTTTCATGGTTTTTTTTCTTAACACGATTTAATGTGTCATCATTAATAGTACTATTACTTAATCAATAGAAGTGGAAAATAAAGTGTTTTTGTTGGCTTAAGATGTAACAAACTCTTATCATTCTTGATACAGTGTCAATCTTACATTTCCCTGAATCATTGGGCACAGTGTAATCTGACTCTTAAAGGTATACCTAAAATAGCATTTTACAAACTCTTTTCTGCAACTTTAGAAAAGCAAAATATAAATAGATTTTTGTACAGAAAGTGTATATGGAAAAGTAAGTTTGGAATGCTCTTGTGTGTTATATAAAACATATCTCTTCGAGTTTTATAGTGCAAAGATGATGTGAAATGGGCTATGGTTTTGAAGTAAAGAAAGGAGTATTTACTTTCATCTAGCATTTTCTGAACTAATTTGATCCCATGGCCACCTTCTGGCCATCGCCAACCTTTTTCCTACTGTGTATCAGTCATTAACATCTCATAGAGTGAATATTCTATGTTCTAACAAGTTTAGAACCTGTTTGTCCATAGGATGAATTGTGTTTTCTTTCCTGGAGTAGTTCTGTATACATACACCTAATCCTAATTGTCAGGTCTCCCCTAAATAGTTTCCTTTTGGGATGTTGCTGACCCTCTTAACCTATCTGTTGTTCCTTTCTCAGTTACTTTGTCAGGGCCCGTATTTAAAGGCTTTCTCTTGGAAGCCCGTAATGCTGAGGATTTGAGTGGCCTTCCTATTGGCTCCTTCACACTGATTGACAGTCAAGTGTCACAGCTTCTGACCTGTGAAGATGTGCAGGTTTGTGTTTGAAATTGATTTCTGTCAGTCACTTCCCTTGGGTCTTTTCACAACAGGGTGGTACTTACAAGATAAAGGACATTTCGGATTTGTTGAAGACAACTACACAGATTCTTAATGACTAAAATTTCCCCTCATGTCACAACTGGCAATATATGCAAATCAACATCCTAAGGAAGATAGGAAAGTAGTTTGAAGAGTTCTTTGTTTTTGATATTTTATGTAATATTGATTTATTGATTTGTGAAGGGTGTAGCTATTGAAAATAGAGTTCTTGAATGGAACGAAGACCTAATTTTATCATTCATTTAGTTTATTTTATCAGGAATTGTCCTGGGTGCAAGGGATATAGTGATGAACAAGATTAACTCTTGTTTCTTCATAAGTTCATAGCCTTACACATAAGTAGACTATCTGGTCATATACATATACACATAAGTGGAATATATGACCCATAAGACAGATGTAAGTAGAACAGTGTGGTAAGTTAGAAGCATACACAGAGTGGGATGAAGGCATAGTATGGCATGCCACTCACAGGCTTCAGGGAATTGAGAGATAACTTCTTGGAGAAGGTGATCTCCAAGACTCAAAAAAAAAATGAGCAGAAGTTTTCCAGGTGAATAAAAGAAGGAAATAATGTTTTTAAGAGAAAGTAATTACCAAAATCTAATGTTACATTCTTGGAAGTGTTTTTTTTTTCTTTTGCTAAATCTTCTGTATTCTATCTCTATCTATTAATGGAAGGAATATAAAATTATAGTATAAATATAATAATGAGCAGGCTCTACATAGCATCAACATACATAGTATTCTTTACTTCTTTCAGTTTTTAAATTTCTGCTGACTCTTAATTTTATTCATGGAGTCAGTGGATAGTCTGGTATCAACCAGTTGATATGTAGTTATTGACAACCTGAGTCCCTGTTTTAAATGAATAGTTTTTATCAGAATGCCAAGGTAATGCAACTATAAATTACTTTGCAAAATGATAGTGGTGTCAGCCATGCTAGCTACTGAGTGACTGACTGGTAGTTCCTTTTCATTTTATTTCAGGGATCAGCTGTGAGTCACACAAGTTCATCTAAGAAAACAGAAATTGAAGTCTTTTGGAATGCTCCAAGCAGTGCCCCGAATCACATACAGTTTCTGTGAGTAAAAGTTTGCAGCTCTATAATAGAATAATTGAAACAGTAATGATTTGCATCATTTTTAAAATGTATTGGACATTCACCTACGTAGGACAGATTTGGTGTAGTTGACACAACCTTTGTGATATAAGTTGTTGTTTTGCCTTTTTATTTTCTCTTTCACCAGTATATACCCAAGTATCTAGTACAGGATTTGGCACCTAATAGGCAATTAATAAATATTTGTTGAGTGAATGAAATTTTGTAAGCCTTCATACTACTAGTAAGAGCCATCAATTAATACTTGAATCTATATGACATATGGATTAATTGGTTTTTTAGATTTACTCCTGTCTTAGTATAAGAAATGTTTTCTGAAATTTCAATGATGATTTTGTAGTGCTAGACTTTACAGATTAGATTTTAAGAAAATAAGAGCTTGCATGTCCTCAGGATTATAAATTCATAGAATGCTTCTTCCTTAAACCATTGTGCCAAGAGGAATGGAATATAATAAAGCCATATAGTGGGTCGCTGTGGTCTTACAGAATTTTTTTTATTATTTATTTTATTAATTTTTTTAAAGCTTTCTGTATTTATACATACAGAACTGGGGTACAGGCCAGAGGTGCTGGGGGTGATGAGAGGATTCACCAGAGACAGAGTGGGGAGCAGAACAGGCAGACTGATGAAGTACACTGCTGAGGGGAGCATTGAGTGCAGGAGAGGTCTGCCGTACCATATGAGTCACCTCCAGGGCGGGGATTGAACTCATGCTGAAGTGGCTTTGGCTTCTCAGTGCTGTGCTTCAACCCGCTGCACCACCAGGGAGGGCCCCTTGTAGACTTTTATTTTAAGAGGAAATTGTTCTTCTGTCATGTTTCCATTTTTCTACTTCACTTTGTTTAGATTCCCAGCACACAGTAAGTCAGCCTTGTGCCTGTATGCTGTATGGAATGTGAAAAGAGGGATGTGACCCCCAATAAGAAGGGAGATAACTTATATAGACTCTGTATAGCTTCTTGCTCTGTCTGCTACACATCCCCTTTGCTACCTCGTGGAGTGTGGTATGAAACGAGTAGTAATATGCTCTTTGTATGTCAGGGGGTAGATATGTATTCAGTGGAGCCCCTGGGTCTGGCATTTATGGCTGCCATGATTATGCCTAGAGGACAGACAGGTAAGAGAAAAGCCAACATAAGTGAGATTGAGAAAGAGGGAGAGAACAATAAAAATCCATTTAATGACAGGATGGAAGAACGTCATTAGAAATTTACCTCAGACAGTATTAGTATTACTGTAAGGTGTTATGTTCTTGTATCATTCCTCTTTTTCCTTTGAATTTTTGATTTGATTGTTGTGGATCACAATCAATATTTTGTCTAATCTTAATGGCGTTGCCTTTCAGTGTTACAGTGGTTGAGAAGTATAAAAGCTACTGGGTGAAGATTCCTGGTCCTGTAGTTTCACAGCCAAATGCACTGCCTTTTACCACTCCTGAAGCTGCAACAGCACCTTTGTCAACATTACTGCCAGTGTCGCATTTAACCAAATCAGTGGGTAACACTTTTATGTTATCACCATATGTAACATAACATATTAGCTTACATGGTAAAATTGGCTCTATTCTTGATAAAGAATAGAAAGAATACTTGGAGAAGTAGCTGTATTGGGTCCTGGTTGCAAGCATTTGGGTTTTTTTATAGGCAATCTGAGGGAAGCCTTCATTGCAACATTATGACATAGGTTAGAATAAGTGACTTGCAAGACCTAGCCTGTTCAAGATGTGATTTTGAATTCACAAAATCTGCACTAGCAGTGGGTATGTATTCATTTGAAAATAAATCTAATAAAGCTGCAGAAGCTTTCTTTCTTTTCTTTTTTTGAGCACACTTCCAAATATCAAACATGGAGAGGGAGTTAAAATTTAAGCCAAATTTAGAGAAGATTTGGAGGAGAGTCTTGAAATAATGTTGATTCTTAAAATTCTATTTCTTTAACATCAGTGAGTATTAAGGAATAAATTCTCTTGCTAAACCACAGAAACTCTTCTGCAAGTTTATCCCCCAAAATTCCATTTAGGCTATCTAGTTTAAAAAAAATATACGATTGAAAAAAATATGTATTAGAAAGGTTAATGTTTATTAAATACTAGAGGGATTTTACTGAAGGCAGTTCTGATAATTAGACTTATTAATTCAGAGGTGAAACTATCAAAAAATGTCTTAAGGCAATTTTGTTTTTATAGTGAAAAGAATAATTGGGCTTGGATCCTCATTGATCTACTTTCTGTGTGACTTTGGAACAAGTTACTTCATTTTCTATCAGTTTTTTTTTTATCTCTAAAATGAGAAATAATGATATGTAGCTTTTACAGTCATTGTGATCATTGAGCATTATAATGAATAGAAAGTTTCCAACTGCTTTGCACTTAATAGGTATTCAGTGAATATTAATTTCTTTTTTCCTCCTCTTTCCTTTCTTTTTCAAAGATCTTTGTTCTCATAGGGAAAACTAAAGTACTTATATCCTGTGTAACCGCTAATGTTTTCAATGTATGGCAGTTATATCTGATTCCATTATTATGAATGTAATACTTTTACTTAACCAAACAGATTGCTATTTTTCTCTAGTTCTAGGTTTGGTCTTAATGCTTATTTCTTTTTTTTTTTTTTTAAAGATTTATTCATTTATTCATACAGAACTGGGGTAAAGGCCAGAGATGAGGAGAGTGAGAGGATTCACCAGAGACAGAGTGGGGAGCAGAACAGGCAGATCCAGGAAGTACACTGCTGAGGGGAGCAGCGGGCGGGTCAGGAGAGGTCTGCCGCGCCATGTGGTCACCTCCGGGGCAGGCGGGGATCAAACTCATGCGGAAGTGGCTTTAGCTTCTCAGTGCTGTGTTTTAACCCGCTGTGCCACCAGGGAGGGCCTTAATGCTTATTTCTTTAAAGTTGCACTAGGAAGGAAAAAGTTTGAAACTGAGATTCCCATTAGTGAACTATTGAGAAAATTGTTGTTTTCCTGTATGTTCACAAAAATGGCTTTTGTTGGAGCCTTTTATCATGTTTCTGTGCCACAGACTTTACAGTCTTTATGATAGTCAGTTTCATTCAGTGTCATAGGATTACAGCATCTGTAGAACTAGAAGAGACATTAGGGTCTATTTCTTTAAGTGCCTGTTAAATAGTTGAAGGTAAAGAAACCCTGAGATAATAAGTTATTTAGCTAACATGAGGATTAAAAGGTGGAGAAGAGACCCACATCCTTTTTTCTTGGTCTTCAGTGGCTTATTTTCTCCATCATACCATGATTGCAGAGTTCCTATAAGTTTTATGTATAATATAGTCACTGGCTCTTGCTAATATTTGGCCTTTGATCCTAGTTCCTGACACAGGACTCCTAATAATCCTTGTAATTTCCTGCCTGGTGGGAATGTCTGTGATATAGGTAAATCCCTTGGAATTTACTGGTTGATAGAAGTGTCTTCATTTTCTCATGAGGTAACTCTTGGTGGGATTATGCATAGGGGCTGGTCACTGGAGAGACTAAAATTGGGGTTTATAACCCTGCCCACTATTCTCCAGAGAAGGAAGGAGCTGAAATTGAGTTAATAATTGTTTATAACTAGGTTGAAATAGCCATAAAAATCCCCGGAAGTACGGGATTAAGAGAGCTCCTGGGTTACGGACTATATGGCGGTGCTGGGAAGGTGCTGCTTCTGAGATGCCCTGTCCCTTCCCACATAATTTAACCTGTCCAGGGTGAGAAATTCTGTCATCCCAAGTTCTATTTTTTTTTTTTTACATTAAACTGGTAATCTAGTAGGTCCATTTTTTAAATAGCTACTGACATTTCTTTTTAAAGATTTACTTATTTATGCATACAGAACTAGGGTACAAGCCAGAGGTGCAGGGGCGGTGAGAGGATTCACCAGAGACAGAGTGGGGAGCAGAGCAGGCAGACCTACTGAAATACACTGCTGAGGGGAGCAGCGGGCAGGGGGGATCGAACTCACACTGAAGTGGCTGCAGCCAACTTGCAGTGCTGTGTCCTTACTCATTGTGCCACCAGGGAGGGCCCTGATTCATTGTTTTCCTGAGTTCTGTGAGCATCTGAATACATCATCAAATCTGAGGAGTGGATTGTGATAACCTAGAATTTATGACTGGCCAGAAGTACAGATGGCAACCTAGGGTTTGTGATTGGCACCTGACATGGGAGGAGTCTTGTGGAACTGAGTACCTCTAGAACCTGACCCAGAGTTCAGGTTGATAATGTCAGACTAGAAATGAAACATAGGTCACATAGAACCCCGGATTTGTTCAGTATGGGAACACATTGGTAGAGTAGGAAAATAAATGAGTGGTTTTTTTCTAGTAATCTTTGACAGAGTGATGGTATATATATGAGTGAACATTTTTTATAATATTGTCTTAATATTGAATTTGAACTGAACTGTAGAAGCAGAACCCAGCTTCTAAACATAGAAGCTTGCTAAGGGTTTGTTTACTTGCTTTTAAAAATTCCATCTGAAAACTACAGAATACCCTTAAAGAAGTAATGTCATTGTGGGCACCAATGTTCCTTGAAACTTTACTCCAGAACATAATTAACATGAGGTGTTTTGCATATTAATGGAACATTTAATATCATCTTAATTACAGTCCAACTAGTGTGGTTTCCAAATTTTAATTAAAATTAAATGTTCACAACCCAAGTGCTGTGCTGACCACTTGTAATTTGGGTTGTGTCTTTTGTTCCCTGTTTTGAATACTTGTCATGAAAAGCTATTTTTCTTGGAACCTGTGCTTCAAAGTAGTGTCTCTTCTGTTATTGGAATGAAATGCTTGTTTGTTAGTTAAGACTTATTTCCTCCTGTCATTTTTCTAGTTCAGTGCTTTGGATTGTGGTACGAAGAAGTTCTGCATTAGAAGCCCTTCGAGCTGTGATCCAGAGAAGGAGCATGCCTGTGTCTTCCTGTCCTTCACGCCGGATGATCAGTCAGTGATGGTTGAAATGAGTGGTCCTAGCGAAGGCTATTTATCCTTTGCATTTTCTCACGACCGATGGATGGTTTGTACCTCTCACTTACATATGTGGTAATGAAAAGAAAAATCACTGGAGTGAGTTCTAATCACTGGTGGTTTAGCTCTTTCTTCCAGAGTCAAATGATCTATTATAGGGAGCAGTGGAGACTGAGGGACAGGAGAAACATAAAACAGTTTCTAAGTTAAATAGCTTTAAGTGGTGCATGTTTTTAACAGTTGGGTAGTTATATACTATCCTAAGAAAATGAAAAGTCACTTTATTTCCAGGACATTTGCCACTTTATTTTTCTATCTTTATTTGCCTTCTTATCTCTCTATAATACAAGAGGTTGGAAAGTATCACAAGCATCAGGAGATTTTACACAGTTCTTGTATTATAGAGAGATAAGAAGGCAAATGTCCAGCAGTGATTGCTATTGCTTTCCCCCTTTTGATAATCATCAGTCCATTTTTCAAAGAGAACTAAGTCTAGAATATCCAAGTCGAAATGTGTTCTTTACTGGTGGACTCCTTTGTCAGGTCTGCAAAGGGCAGTATTTGTTTTAAGTTGATTCTTTCTCCCTTGAGTAGTGCTGAATGGACTAGATGATTTTGTAGGTGGAAGCCTTGTGCTGTGGTGTGGAAGAGGAAAGTGCTGCATACGCATCCTGATTTCTCAGGGAGAAGGATAAAGTATATTTGTGGAGCTCCTGTTCAAACAAGCTTGGCATTAGAACAGGCAAGAAGTCTTTTCTTGAAAGTTTTCTTCTAGGCAGGTTCTACATTTAATATCACTTCTTTAGAGAATTGATTAAAAAAAGGAAATTCTGGAATTCTGAGGTCCCTTGATAGAAAAGCTAATGTTTTGTCTAAAAGTGCACTCTGGTCACATCAGTCCTTGTACTTGCTGGTTGCTAGTATTTCAGGCAGCCAGGTGTAACTGTTTTGGGGGAGTGATATTTGAAATATATATATGTGAGTATATAGTTTTAGAATTCATTTGTTATATTTTTTTAAATAAAGGATATGCATTAAACCTAGAAGATATACTATGTCACATGCTTTAAAAAAAATTTAAGCAACAAATACTGAATGGTGTCCATTATATATGAAATATAGAGGAATCAAACAAATGGGTAAGTAAACTCAAACTTAAAAGTTAACCCTTGGAAGTTGACTCGAGAATGAGACTTCCATAGGGGGAGGAAGAAGGGCAAGAACGAAATGTGGAGAGAGCATAATGAACTTTAATCATAGGTGCACTATGGTCATTATACCTGGCCGGGGAGATCCTGTACTGAGAAAATACTAGTAACTACTCCAACCAGTGGTACATCAATGATATAAAAAGAAACTAAACCAATGTTACATTAAAAAATACAACAAGAAAGAAGTCTGGATAAGAATTATAATTCTTTAAAGTTCCCTTTAAAGTTGCCTTTATGGGAAATTGTTCAAGATGTTTCACATTTCCTTTTTCTAACTGCCACCAGGTCTGTTGCATATTCTCTTGGGCGTTCCTAGTTCTGGCAAAAATGAACCAAGCTTGTGCACAAGTGGGGTCATGAGACTGGGTTAAAAATGAAATCTTACCATGAAACAATACAGAAAGATGGTGGTAGTACTTGTGTGAATGTGAGGGAACTGGCTCAAAAAGATTGATACAGATGAGTCCAATAATGATAAAGAATGGTAATCATGTTGTAATAGTTTTATTAAGATTCAAGTCTAAGAAACCATATTCATTTAGATATATGTTCTAGTCATTAAAAAAAATCCAGTCACTTTTTAGTCAAATTCAGGGTTATACTATATTAGCATATTTCCTTTATGGTCAAATAAAGTTTATCAGGAAGAGGGAAGGACACTGTGGTTGCAGCAAATGCAGTGATAAGTAGTCTGCAGGTAGACCAGTTATTTTTATTCTAAGTTGTAGCCATTGATGACACAAAAGCATTTATCTCTAATTCAAGATAAATTTACCCTACTTAGAAACCTTATGTTTCTAATATAGCTATCATCAAAAGTGTTTATAAGAAAGACTTAATTATGCAGGTGCAGTTGATTTACAGAGCAATTCTATTTAATGATTAAAATCATCTGTACACCTGTTTGCTTAAATTGGGGAAAATAAATTATCCTTAAAAATATTTTTGAAGTGGTTATTTCTATTTTTAGTTGTTATTTTAAAAACTTTAGGATATTTTTTGACATGCTATTCTCAGTATTTAATATAAAGTTAAATACTGAAGGTATCTTATGTTATGAATACTGACAAGGTAACCTAAATTATACCTTGTTTTCAATTTGGTATGTAAATTAATGATAGCAATTGTTTTGGTATTAGACTGCATCACTAAAATTGATAAAAGGTATCATTTTCCATATTTTACTAACGACTTGCTAAAATGTGAATTTTTTTAAAGATTTATTTATTTGCGCATACAGAAGTGGGGTACAGGTCAGAGGCTCAGGGGCGGCGAGAGGCTTCACCAGAGACAGAGTGGGGAGTAGAACAGGCAGATCGACGAAGTACACTGCTGAGGGGAGCAGCGGGCGGGTCAGGAGAGGTCTGCCACACCATGTGGTCACCTCTTGGACAGGCGGGAATGGAACTCATGCGCAAGTGGCTTTTGCTTCTTAGTGCTGTGCTTTAACCTGCTGCACCACCAGGGAGGGCCCGCTAAAATGTGAATTTTAACTGAATTTCAGAGCACAGACATCTTCCCTAACTCAGATACTTTGTTAAAATGATAGGAAGAATATTGAGTATGCTAAGAACTATACTTTCTTTCATTTCCTTTCTCTCTATATACTTGTGTATGTGTGTAGATTGACTTAGGTGGTATACATAAACACCTTTCCTCCTGAACTTACTTGAAAATAAATTGTAGATACCATGATACATTGTCTCTAAAATGTTCCTCATGTTCTCCTTAGAACAAGGACTTTTCTAATTACCAAATTATCTTTACCACATCAAGAAAAGTTAATAATGACATAATAGTCATTTGCAATGTATGCAATGTATGTAATTTCCTCAGTTGTCCTAGTTAAGTACTTTATAATTAAAAAAGCAACTGATCTAAGATCCTGTAAGTTGTCACTCAATACATTTAGTTGTTATGTCTCTTTATCTCCTTTACTTTAGAAAAGCTGCCCTATCTTTTTTACTGAAATTTTTTTCAGACCAGTTGTTTGGTAGAACTTCCCAAATTTTTAGATATATTCAAATTAATTATGTAGGCATAATTCCTACATAGACATGTATTTCAGGGTATCATATCAAGAGGTACTAATGGCAGATTTTTTTCATTATTAACTAAGTATAATCACTGGCATCTGCCAACATTGCCATTGTAAAGGAATATTTTCTTTCTTAAAATTAATAAGTAATCTGTAATGTGATGCTTTATATGAATATTCTGTTCTCCAGTAACATTTTATAAAGATAGTGATTTATTTCCTTTCCTAAATCAGTTTTACTTAGGTGACTGCAAATGGTGATTTTCTAATTATTAATAAACAGGCATTCTTTTGAAAGGAAGAACTTTCTTCTCTGTACCCCTTTTGCTTTTGGAGTTAAAGTCTATGGACTAATGAACTACTTTTGTGTGTTGGATTACAGTTTATTACCATCATTCTTTTTGATACTTTCATCAACCCACACGTGGCCATTGGGAGTCCCTCTGCACCCTTTTATCTGTCTCCTTTAGTTTTTGAGTATGTCTTGTTTTCTGATGTAACAAAATTCTCTCTGCTCATCTTATACTTTGATGGATTTCATTCATTCAATTTTTTTTAAAGGTTTATGTGTTTATTCATACAGAACTGGAGTACAGGCCAGAGGTGCAGAGGGGGTGAGAGGATTCATAAGAGACAGAGTGGGGAGCAGAACGAAGACTGCTGAGGGGAGGAGCGAGCAAGACAGGAGAGGTCTGCGAGACAGGAGAGGTCTGCTGTGCCACGTGGATCACCTCCGGCCCGGGATCCAGTTCACATTGAAGCAGCTGTGGCCAGCTTGCAGTGCCTCGTTCTAACTCGTTGTGCCACCAGGGAGGGCCCGGATTTCATTATTTCTTAAAGGACCTCTCCTGTTAAATAAGAATAGGATTTGGAAATTAAGATTTGGGTGCAGTATGTTTAATTGTTACAGATCTTCTAGATACTTTTGATTTTCTCTTGGACATATTTCCTTTATTCTATTTATTGCCTTGCTAGTACCTGTGATTTGGTATATACATTTATTGTCTTCTGTCTGGACTGCTTTGGTAACCTCCATTAGTCCTGCCTCCATGATTTCGGTTTCCTAACATACAATTGAGATAATTTTAATCTACCTCCAAATTCTTTAGTGAACTGTTAGCAGTTATAGAAAAATGTTCTTTTTCATTAGCATGTCTTTCAAAATTTAAGTTCTTTTTTGGAATTTCTAGTCTTAAAGTGCATGAGTTTTCTAAAATTTTAATTAACTTTTTACTTCTTCTCCGTCTTTGATCTTGGAAATTGCTCAGCTTGGAAAATTCTCCTTTGGACTCAGCGCTACCATATCCATTTAAAGGTCTTTATTGTCAAAGTTTTTTTTTTTTTTTTTTTTTAAGATTATTTGTGCATACAGAACTGGGGTACAGGCCAGAGGTGCAGGGGCTGTGAGAGGGTTCACCAAAGACAGAGTGGGGAGCAG